GGAGAGCCGTTAACCGATATGCAAATTAGCCTGCAGTACCACTGCTCTACCCACATGAGCAGCAAAAACACGTTTTTAGACCAAATATTACAGATTTGAACAAATACGCACAAAAACATCAAAATTAGCACAGAAACAGTACTATATAACATTTTAGACACATTCTAGGCAGTTTATCAGCTAAACAAAGTTAATTTTGGGGTAAGTTACTCTTTAAAGTGTAATAGTTCTGATCTTAATGTCAAATTTTGTTGAGAGCACTTCCCTTCAGTGTGAGTCTGGACATCAGAGACATTGCTAAAAGTCAGACATACAGTAATCTCATGCTGCTCAGTGTCTGTGAATGTTTTCAGCCTCTTTGTCAGTGACTTTCAAAGTCCTACAGCTTTTATGAGGCACAAATTAATTATTAGCCACACACAAACAGGCTCCCAGGCTAAAGTCAGTTTCCTTCACAAAGCTACGGTCACCGTCACACACGTTCACAGACACAAACGTACAAGCTGACACTTGGCTTACCTGTGTTTGTTCTCCTGGCTGAGGTTGTTCTCCTCGCTCAGGGGGAGGAGATGTGAGCAGGATGCGGACAGGCGGTGTTTCTTGTCAGAGCGCTGGAGGCGGGGAAGAACACTCTGACGAAACAAATCCTTTGGCTTTTCCTGCAGGACATGAGCGAAACCAGAAATTGTATTTTTATTGCTACACTRTAAAAATCTAAAATAACGCTTTACGTTAAAAATACAAGCAGATGGACCGCTTTAAACAACATTTTGTTTTTACGCAAAAGGTGTGTTTTTATCATATAGGCCTGGAATCCGCAAGGAAAGAGAGTTTTGTTKTGGTATTTGGTCAAGTCTATTTGCATAGCATATTACCATACAACAGTATACCACATGGTATATATACATTCAGGATGTGCAACATATTTCAGCATCAACATCGGTATCGGCCAATATTGGTCATTTTTTAGAAAATCCTATTGGACCGATATTAACGTAGAATAATGATTTCCCACTTTTTAGCTTTGTGTTTCTGTTTTGGGACAGGAAATGGTTGGTTGAACGGTATCGGTTTGATCATACTGATAGTGACACTGTGCTGCCAGGAATAAMGGAAGTAGAGAGCCATGTAAATGCCACTCTTGTATTTTTGTGTAGACGGCTAAAACGAGGACAGCGTGAGGGTGTACAGTTGTGTACAGTACAGTTATGGTGCCACATACAGGCCTGGCATAGTTACTACATTGTTTTAAATTAATTTTGCTGTTTTTGTACAGACATTTCTAGAAACTGTGCTGTTTTCGGGAATACCTTTTGGAAACAACAACAAAAAGATTGTTTTGGAAAAACTTTGTTTCTGTGTGAACAAGGCCTTTCKGCCTGACTGACCTCCAGAGTCATGTTGACACGTTTTGCTAACTCGTTCAGGCTTTAAATTTTAATTTACATTTTTAAACAAGRCATTTTACAATTATGTAATTATTTAGTACATGTGAAAACCATATTTTATAAAAATTAGTATTGGTTCATGAAGGTGTGTTTGAAACTATGTAGCCTCACCAGATCTGCATATGATCCCAGGGAGTAGTTTCTGCTGACTCGGCGCTTCAGGGTCTGCTCGTCTGAGAGAGAAAAAAAATCCTTTTTAGCAGAATATCTAAAATTTTTATGTAAATGTCTGTTTCTGTTTTTAAAAAAGGAAACCTTACCTCTCTCACATCTATCCGTTAAACATGAAACTGTAAAAAAATGAAACATGGTAATTATGTCACTGATTTTCTGTTGTCTTTGACTAAACCAGTCTGCATGTTTCTCTGTTTTCATTCACAAAGTTATTAGATGTATTTCTACACATTAACTGAGTTAAATTCATTCATGCCTTTTTTTTCCACTTGTCAAATACTGAATGTCAACGTTTGGTCAGATTTAGAAACTTGTTTGTTTTTCCACATGAATCCTCAGTTTTTCCCACACTGTGGATTGCCACATAATGCCTGACTCACAAATTTATTGTGTTGTCAGACTCGAACAAATATTAGTCAGCTCTATGCACGTTATATACTTTCAAATGAGCTGCTGATCAAAAGCCTCACACTCAGACCATTTTAAAGGGTAAATGAAACCAACATATTTTGACAGGATACACATCACCCGCCACTTTGCGTGCCAAAGTTTAAAAAAAAGATCCTGCATGATCAATACCACTAATGATAGCCATAACACGTCCTTGGCATCAGGTGAGAATAAAATTTAAAAAATTGATTCTTTTAAGAGACCCTGATTTTTGTAGCCAGTGAGAACTTTTACAGATTTTGATGATTGTCCAGCCTTTGTGTGCCACACATCTGTGTTTTACCAGTGTGGGGGTCCAGCCTCTGCCGATGTCTTGACAGCTGGGTGAGGATGGTTTCTCGGTGGGCTGCGTCTTCTATCCCAGCATCCTTCAGCTCTACATCGGTTGCATTCAGCAAACCCTGCAGAAAACAACAAGAAGACCTGGTATATTATATATTTTTCTTAAAATCATTCGCCCAAGACTGTGAGGATTTTGACCCAAAGCAAACACAAATAGGTTTTATATACCTCTATACCATAATATTCACTCTCTAGTGACTTGGTGTACTGTGGCAAGCCAATCTGTCTCAGCCACCAGGCGATGGAGCGATTATTCATGTCTGCACAGCAAGGAGGGAAAAGTTACTGACTTGTGTAAATGCTAAAACATACATGTTTCTACTCGTTTTTTGTTCAAAAAAGCATCTGGGGAAACAAATGAAGGATTTGCGTGACATCATCTGACTTTTAAAAAGCAGTCAACACACAGGCTGAGTCGTCACACTTACCTATGTAGAGGACCGGGAGCACTCTGGGAGATCGTTTGAAGCTATTTTATTTCATGTAAAATCTCAAATTCATTCTTCTGTGCCGTTTTTCTATTTTCCTGCCCTCTTTGCAGCTGTTCTCATCCTCGTTGCCCTACCTGTCATGAAGTCTCACTTTCTCTTTGGTGGTGAAAGCTCGCTCCCACCCTCCTCCTCTCAAACCTGTAGGGTCACTTGAAGGCCAATCAGAACGTGCAGYTGGGACGAAGCACCCCAAAAACATMATCAAATGGCAGCGCGGGAATTACAATAAGCTTCTCGAAGGGGTGGAGAGAGCAGGTAGATACATGTCATGGTGGAAGAGGAAAAAGACACAAGAGGGGAGGGGAAAAAATTTGAAGCAGCTGTCAACATGTCAGGTCAGAGACAAGAATGCAAACCTCAAACTGTCTTTCTGTCTTTAGAGGTGGAAACTCTCAGATATGTACAGTTTCTGCAGGGAGGGAAAATGACTATTTAAGGGTGACATCTAGTGTTTAAGATGAAAGTTACACAAATTCYCCAAAAGGTTTTTAATGAAAAGGTTTTAGTTTTTTCTTAGGCTGATTAACTGCATATCTTTCAGGACAAACATGAGYTGAGTGAGTTCATTCTCACACCTTTTATGTGGGAACCAGAGGTGTCAAAAGTATTTGAATTCATTACATAAGTAGAAGTATAGATACTATTGTTTAAAATACTTTTTTTGGAAGTAGGGTTGGGCAATAATGGCAAAAAAAAATCATGATTAATTGTGGTATTTAGCTGATAACGATTAATTTGACGATTAATCCCCTGGAGTCCCTGGTCACCCTTATGTCCTAGTCACATGACCAATTTAGTGGAAAAGATTTGCTCTTCATAAAAATCTGTTCCAAATTGTGTCAAAATTACAGACTTCAGGCTATACATCAAATTTAAAATTGTGTTGATARATAAATAAATTACAGAACTATTTTTTTAATGTTCGTCATATTTGAAGCAGAGAGGAGCATTGAGCGGACTCTGCCTGGTGGCATTAATCATATTAATCAAGTGCCAAAAAATAATCAATTAATGTTTTTCTGACGATTAATTGCACACGATACGATTATGCACAACCCTATTTGGAAGAAGTAGCAACTCAAGCTTTTTACTCAAGTAAAAGTATAAAAGTAGTAGTTTTAAAACTACTTAAAGTATAAAAGTAAAAGTAATTAAYACTTTAAAAGCACCCCCGATATTTCTTCTAAAGTCAATAATGTTAAATTAAAATGTTAATGTTAAAAAAAWTTGGAATTAACTGTTTGAGCCACGATCATCTTCATTCTAGGCTACATGCATCTGCTGCAGTCTGTCCTGCTGGAATGTGATGTGATTTKTGTCRTACAGGTGTGATGCAGTGCATTCAATTCAACAGGGTGTCAGAATGGTTTATATTTACACTTCTCATCCAACCACAATCAAATTCACTCTATCCAATGGCTCCATGTATCTGGATAGATTTCTATTTATTTATTTTTGCTGAACAATAAAAAGATGGAATAAAAACAAGTCAAAGTTAAGTAGAAATGAAATACTTTTTTTTATTTTTTATAAAGTAAGGAGTAGAAAGTACATATATTTGAATTAAAATGTAAAGCGTAGAAGTAAAAAGTAGGCTGAAAAATAATTACTTCACTAAAGCATAGCCAAAATTTCTACTTAAGTAAAGTAACAAAGTATTTGTACTTAGTTACTTGACACCTCTGGTGAGAACTAATAAAATATCGTGTTTTTTTRGGACAGTTTGTCCTCCTGTAAGTTGATTCCTGTAACATAAAGGGGCATTTTATGCCTGCCTTTTGAATAATCAAAAACAATTTACAATTAAGAATACCGCAGTGTTAAACCTATTTAAAGCATGAATGATATCAAGGATTCAGGTGAAGCATAATCTTTACTGTGACTAAAACTCCCTCATTTAGAGATTAGAGATTTTTGTGAGCTCTTACTGCACCTTCAAATTCACATAAGGTTTTCTGTCTTTTAAAATGAATTATTTTGCTGTTCATTTTGGGGCTTTATGGCATATATAAGTACATCTAAAGGACATTCTTATGTCAGTATTGTCACAATACCCTTAAAATCACAACTATACACAAGGGAATTTATATATAGTGTGTGGGAGACGCCCAATTTGAATAAGTTTAGATTATCTATAGAGTGAGTCAGAAAATGGGTTCACATCCCCAGAAAATCACAACTAGAGATGCATTTTTAAAAGAATTTCTGCACGTGAAAAAGCATTTATTATGCAAAAATAGGATTTTTTTTTTCTGGACTAAAATCAAGGCAGCTTTTCTTTCCATCTCAGCTTGAGGACAAACTTCACAACTGAAAACTTCATTCTGGTTGGTCTCCTCCTCTGAGGATACTGTGGCAGCTTTAATTTAGGGGCTTTTATGACATAAAGTTAAAGAACTTTGAAACACGACACTCAGTCCCTCTAAAGTTTGCATAATCGTGCGTTTTATGGCCCAGCCTACTTTGAGCAATGATGCGTGATTGCCACTTGCCTAAATAATGAAATGAGTAAACTTCTGTCCACCACACCATGTGCACACTCACCCATAATCTGTCTTCTATATGCAACAAACACACACAGACACAGACTTTCACAGGCAGGCTCACACTCCTTTTTTTATCAGCTTGCAGCAGCAACAGCAGCAGCTTTGCGAGTTTGTGTGTGTGTGTGAGTGTGCGTCAGAGGAAAAAGGAAGTTGCGGGATAAAGTTAAAAGCATTCGACACAGTGCAGCTTTGCAGAACACCCACGAAAGGCAGAACAAGAGCGCCTCAGCCTGAAAATGAGATAATAAAAAGTTAAAGCAGCGGCTGAACGTCGACAAAGCAGCAGATATAAAACTGCGAGGAGAAATTGTCAAAAGGTAAGATCTRGTATTTTATTTGTTATGTGTTATTATCTGTTTAAAAAAGGGAAGTTTCTGATGAATATTTCAGTGTTTGACAGGCTGGCATGTTTGTGACAGTTCAGTAACTCGTTTGCTGCTAATTGAACTCATACTGATTGAACGGCATCATGATGATGATGATTAAAGTTCCAGTTCATAATTCTGACAGACTTTGTGTCACTCAGGCAGAAAGTATCATCTCTGCGTTCGTCCACCTGCCAGAAAAACAAAGATGGAGATGTGGCGACAGTGTGCGATGTGGTTGATCGAGTGCCGGGTTCTTCCTGAGAGCCACCGAGTCACATGGGAGGGTGCTCAGGTAAATCAGCTGTTCCTCACCCCCGCCTACACACCTGCACCGAAGTTCCCCTCTCCCCCGTCTCCTTGGTTCCTCAGCCTAATTGGGGTTTTCTGTGTCACGTAACCAGGTGTGTGACCTGGCTCAAGCTCTGAGAGATGGAGTGCTGCTCTGCCAGCTGCTTAATAACCTGATTCCTCAGGCTGTCAACCTGAGAGAGATCAACCTGCGGCCACAGATGTCCCAGGTAACATGCACACAAATCTTTTCCTGATGGATTTTCATAGGGTCATTTCCATAGTAGCCACTCACACYGGCGTGCACCTATAAAACCCAAAGGCTGTGTGATAAGAAAATGCTGTAATCTATATCTTCCCTCATCTGGAAGCATGTGGAGAGGACAAGATGATTATCATGATGCTGACAAAGGGAACCAGACAAAGAGAGATATGGATATATTCTTTTTTAAGATTAGAAAAGAAAAAAAATACAGTCTGGAACAAAAGAAGTCATTTTCTCTTCCGTAATACACCGCTGTGTTGCTGCCTGAACGCCTTGTTTAAACTTAAACTGTTTTTCTTCTCTTTTTTTTTTTTTGACTCGTCTACATCACGCTGATGTAGATACTTTGTTCAGGACTTGACAAATTCCCTAAATCATTAACCAGCATGAGGCGATTCGTCGTGCAGCTGAATTCACATGCAGATTAAACYCACTCCCATCCCTCCAGAAAGTTGTTAGGGTCTCTGTTCGCCGGGCTCTCATGAGCCAGTTTTGGTCGCATGCATGAAGGTGCGAATTAGAGGGAAACTGACTGTGTATCAGGCTTAACTGAGACCTCCTCCTTTTTATCCATGTTTGACGTAAATGGCTTCCTTTATCCATCTCTCAAGACCCCCCCCCCCCTTCCAAAAACAAATGGTTTAAAGAAACCTACAGATATTCTTCACAGCTCATTTTCTTGTATACAACTTTGGTAGTGAGCCTACGGTGCTGTCTCTGAGTGACCATTGACTCCCACTGTTTTCTAAACATACAAACGATCATGAAGGGTATCATAACTACAAACTACATGTTCGGGGGCACAAAATGTAAATAAAAAAATAAGATAAATACAGACCAAGGGTGCAAACCATACAATGAGAAACTTATTACCATAAATAAGTAATGATCTGGAGTGAGATGATTTGGTTTTTAAAGTACTTAATGGAAAAATAGATTTAAATGTGTTCATAAAACAAGGGAAGGAGGGCTTATTATCACTCCACAACAGTGAATATGGTATTTTGCTATTAATATGACTGCATTTATGGCATCAGAGAAAGTAGAAGTTATCTATATAGAATGAAATGTCATCAACACCAAAAGTAGATTAATTTCAGTCTTATTTTCAAGGAAAATCCAAAACATTGCTGCTRTCAAAGTCAGGTAACTGATTCTAGAAACCTAGTCAAGTATATATTAAAGAGTTAGYGCTAATTTATTTGTTTATTCTGCAGAATGGGCTTTAATAGATTTAGCTACTTTGCATTTCCCCGTTTTATAAAACACATCACTTTTCTGATGTTCKGCATCGTTTCCCCTGCTGTCTGGGATGCTTTGTTTTAGCTTCTCTCTTTCAAAGTTTTGAAATGTGCTTTGAACAGTCAGCTAAAWTTTTGAAAGACTAAAAGGAAAAGAACATCTAAAACGTACAAGAAAGTGGCCCTCGAGGGCCAGGATTGGGCGTCACTGGTCGAAAGCAGGTTTGCATGATGTCTGCTGGGTGGCTACTTTGGCAGATATCAGACAAAGACAAGAGGAGCTGCCTTACATTTCACCAATTAGCGGATTATTCAAAGCACACAAAAATCTAACAAATATTCACTTTGAGGTGAAATACGCTAAAATAAAGTATCTCGGACAGAACATCAGAAAGGTGGTGTGTTTTTTTAGAACAAGGAAATTCAAAGTAACTAATTTGAGTTAAAACCAAAAAGTTACTATGAAGAAATAAATTGGCACATCCTCTGTTTGACTTCTAGGTTATTAGAAAATGTTAACAGCAGTAACATTTTATATATTA